TTTTTTTTCGTGAAAGTTGAGCCCAAAAGAGCAATATTCATAATTTGAATCCATAACCACATGTTGAGAAACTAAACCCCTAATCGCTATGTCACAAATAAATGCATCGTTCAATAAAATCTTCCTTAGATGTTCTTAAAATTACAAAGTAAAGGTAAGAATAACGTCTTGTGCTAAAATGTTCGCCCTACAAGATAATAATAATCCTAAACATAATGAAACTCCCATGATTAGACAGATCCTTCCGCTCCACTCCGCTCGTGGGCTCCGCTCCGCTCCAACATCTGTCCCATTTATGGTACATGAGTCATACCTAACAATAATAATAAAGAGTAACCTAAATAATGAAAATACATGGAAGTTAGGATTGGAATACACGAGAAAGATGACTTATGGCAAATTTATTAGGATTAGATTGATAAGTTAATCAATATCATGATGACTAAATAAAAGAAAACAAATTAAAAACACACACACACACACACACACACACACACATATAATTGATTAATAATATTTCGAGTCAAAATGAGCCGAACACGAACGAACAAATATTTGTTCATGCTCAGCTCATTAACTTAGAGAGCCAAACACGAGCATCTTAACGAGCCGAACATGAGCTGTTTTGACAGCCCTAAGCACGACATGTCTCAAGTAGCTGTCTGTATTTTCTTTTAGCTGTCCCGTTCTGTTCTAGTGTATAGGGACATGTTTTTTGATGAATAATACCATGAGATAGTATAAAACTATTGAATAGAAAATTCTTGTATTCGCCACCACCGTTAGTTAAAGTTTTATTAGGTTGTTGAATTGAAGTCTGACACGCTATTTGAATTTTATGAAATGTGATAGAACTTCGGACTTGTGATACATAGGATAAAGCCAGGAAAAATAAGTAGAGCCGTCAACAAATAACACGTAGTATCTATAACCTTGAAAGATAATGTGGGAGATGGTCCCTAAACATGGGAATGTATTAGTTCTATGGGATCACATTGAGTAATTTGAGCTAAAGAAAAAGGTAGAGGATGACTTTTGTTGTATTACAAGGCTCATAAAAAGAAAAAGAGCTAGTAATTGGAAGATGAGGTTGTTGTTTAGCTATGGTTGCAAGAGTTTGGTGATTGGCATGTCTCAAATGTTGATGCCAAGGGATGTCACGGTTTGTGGTAGAGAGGAGGGCTTTGCGAGTTGTTGGAATTGGATACAACCCATTACGGTAAGGGTCTTGAAGAAGAGTTTGCTGTGTTATCCGGTCCTTGATTTGGTAACCAACATCATCAAAGAATATAAGGCAATTATTATCAACAGTGAGTTGAGAAACAAAAATTAAGTTGTGGGAAATTTGAGGGGTGTGAAGAAGTTTAGTGAGAATTAGCTTTCGAGAAGGAGTTGGTAATAGATCATGTTCGGAGTGTTGTATGAGAATCATTTCACCATTCCCCAGGTGAATTTTATCAAGACCTTGATTTGGTTGAAGTTGATTTAGTGATGTGGTTAAATGGCTTTTAGCAGCATTGTCCAAGTACTAATCCGAATTGGTTGTGGAAGATGTGATGAGAGCTGTAGAAGGTGGAGGCCCAGTTAGTTGATTGTTAGCATTGAGTCGGTGCCAGCATTTGAGAGCTATGTGGTCGGGTTTGTTGCTGATTTGATAGTAGATCGATCCATTTGCTTTAGGTTGTTGAGGAGCTAATTGTTTGGTTGTGAAGTCCGTAGCACCCTTGTACCCAAAAGTGTTAGTACTGTTTTTGTCATTGTGGTATGGGTATTCACCCTTTCCTTGGATAAGTTAACTTTTAGTGCCTATTCGAGCGAGTATGTAGCGTCTCATTGTTATTATCCGGGGAGAGGAGACGAGGAAACAAAAGGAGAAGAAGACGAGAAATCGATCGGTCAAGAAGCTGTTGAGGGGGAGGTGAAGTGAGAGAGTTGGGAAGCCGAAGAGATAATTTCGTGGGTTCGGTGTGTAGAGGTGAGAAATGACTTACCTAGGAGACGAGGCTTGTGTGCAAAGGGGGAAGGCGATGGGATCATTGATGGTTTGAATTGTTGTATCGAGCTGTGATCGAAGAAGGAAATTTGTGGAAGGTATTTTATTACTTGCAAGAATCGAATCTTGTGAAGGAACCGACATCAAGAGCTCGTGCGGGACAAGATCATTTGCACATCATGATGGCACGATCCCGAGTGACCGAGCTGAAGGAGAAGAAAGAGAGAAGTGTGATCGAACCGTGAGATAATAATTTTATAAAACTTGTTTATGAATTTATTATATTATTAATTGTAAATTTTAATTAAACCTGATTTTCATAGTAAGAACTTTACAGTTTGATTTATTTCTTTTAATTGCTTATTTAATAATAAATTGTTACATAATAAAAAATGTATGTATACTTACAAGTCTAATAGGAATGATACAAATTACTTAAAAGCAACTAGAAAGCTAAATTATGAGAACTTATTTTATTGTATATATTTTATTAAGCTTAAATTGTTTAAAAGAAATAATTAAATGAAGATAATAATTATGATAATAATAATAAAATGATTAATATTATATGTTACATCAATGATCAAATAAAGATAAATTATCTTCTAATAATAAGATTAACATATAATAAATTAAAAATAAGCCTCTAAGCATTGAACTTTAGGTTTTTCATTGGAAATTAGTAAAGAAAACGTTTAGAATCATCAATGATTGAGTTGAATGCTCATATACTTTTTATATCGGAATATTTTGTTTCTTCCCAACTAAATACATTTATTTTTATAGCATTCCATACCTATGATTTATGGTTTATTGGGTTTTATTTAAAATGAATTGTTCTGCTGAATTTAATTTATGTTGTAAGAATAATTTGTGTGCTCAGCTTTATTTAAATTATCATAGATATTGAATGATGTACAATAATGTTAAATGATTTGCAAATGAGAATGAAATATTTAATATTACAAAATGGAATTTTTATAGTTTGCATGTATATGTATGTTTGGTTGTGACAGAGCCACTCATTTATGATACTAGCGGGAGAACACTGATGTACTCGTGCACGTAATTAAAAAAAGATATTGATATTGAAGTATTTCAAATGGTATAATTTTTAGATGATACTCGTGTGATGATTGTATATATATAAAGATATTAATATGATATTGATATATAAGATTATTTGAATAATATCAAAAAGTTTATATTAATTTATTAAAAGCTAACTGGAATGCATATTATTTTTCTTTCCTCTTGTATTGGTGTAGTTTAGGAGTATGAGTATTGACTAGCTTTATTTAGCTTGCTGTTGTTCTAAATTAATATTTCAGGTTAAATTAGGTGATTAAAAGATGAGCAATAGTAGGAAAAATATTTATAGATGATGCATACAACTAGTAGTGAAATAAATTTAATTTTAATGTATTAAATTGATTGTTTTAGTGGTTATTTCATCTATTAATTTTTATTTATAAATAATGAGTATCTAAAAGTTAGTCCCCGATCATCTGTAGTCGTTTTGGTTATTTCTAAGTCTCGAGTCATGTCGTGACAGAACATGTCATGGAATGGACTTAGATTGGTTATATTATATGTTGTTTATGTTTGGCTCGAGCTCGAAGCAAGCTTTCACATATATGTGTATATTTGGCTTATACTTGATTTATTCATATCAAGTGAATGCATATTTTAATAAGTTAATAAACAAGTAAAAATTTTGAATGAACTCCCTCACTATTAAGGAATGGTCGGAGGATATTATAGGAGCCCCCAACCCTCTCATGTGTCTGGTCATTCGAGGACCACCCTCACTACCTATAAACTGACCAGAGGGGGATTCAAACCCATGATTTGGTGAAATATTTGCGTACATAAGATGTACGCAGCGCTGCGTACATCAGAGGTTATTCTGGGGGTACAGGGGAGTTATATCCGGGTTATACCGGAGGTTACAAGGGGGTATAACCCAGATATAACCTCATTGTACCCCCTGAATAACCTCTGATGTACGCAGCGCTGCGTACATCTTATGTACGCAAATATTTCTCATGAGGGAGCTTAAGACCTTCAGAGAGACTGCTCTACTAACAGGTCACGGCTGGCGACATAAATTTAAATGAAAACTTGACTTTCTTATAGTATTTTTAACAAAAGATTTTACAATTCTATATAAAAATCAATTGCATAAATTTTGAAGTAATATCTAACTAATTTACACAAATTAAATAAAATAATATTCAAGTGGTATCTTTATTACTAATTTTTTATAAAAAAACCAATATTTATGCAAACAAAAAAATTACCATCCATTCTTGTAAGTTGTAAGTGCTCTCTTTATTATTGATTTTATTATAAAAAAAAAGGAACTAGTAAATTATAGTTAGTATACAGAATTATACAAATTTTCTCACAACTATCTTTTAAAATTACTAATATAAAAATAAAACTATTATTCAAAAATAAAATTTAGAAGAAATTCTAAAAGCATAAAAAAAAACCTAGCCGCACATAAGGAACTAATTTAGGGTCCGTTTGGGGCACTGGGCTGCGTTTTGAAACGTCACCGTACCGTTTGGTTCGCGCGTTTCACCAGTTTATTCCAAATTGTGTTTGGGTTGTTTGGGTTTTTACACTAAACGCGGGTCGTGGGTCCGCGGGCTGCGTTTCAGGATGAAGCAGTTTATCCTGAAATGCAAACTTATTCTGAAACGCACAAGCTGCCCCAAACAGATCTTTAGACGAAACAACAAACAAGCAAATACATCAAAATTTGACCGTTTCTTCCCTCCATTTTTTTAAATTTTCTACTCCTCAATCATTTTTG